CCTGGGGGCCGCACAACGAAGTACGTCATCAACGTCCAGCTAAAAAAGACGGAAGTTCCAAAATCCGGATGCGTCACAATCTGCGAATCTTTCCCCAAATTCCCTGCCACACCCACCGCAACTGACGAGCACTTCCAAAGCCCAATGCAGAAAAGGAGAATAACGGGACGTCCTAAGAAGGCGTGTCTCATCACGCAAAAATTAAGGAGTACTCAAAAATTAAGGAGTGCTCAAAAATTAAGGAGTACAGTGAGTCTCGTTCAATTTGCAGTATTTGATTATGTAATTGAAAGGCGTTACTCCCATATTTTGTAGTGTAATTACTACTACACAACGACCCCGTGTTGTCTCAAACTATCAACCTCTTCGTTTCATCCAATACCTACATTGGCTTGCCAGAATAGCCAACCGCCGTTGTGGGCTCGGACCACCAGTTTTTCGGTTAACATTCGCACGCGCTAGCCGATTGTGCCTCGAAAGCTGAGGATTAACGATTAATCGCCTTCTTTTCGTCATTATACTATCACTGCCATGCCAAAATGAAAACCGCCCCCGGGTGGGCTCGAACCACCAACCTTTCGGTTAACAGCCGAACGCGCTAGCCGATTGCGCCACGGAGGCCGACTGCACTCCCTTCCTCGTCATCATTTCACGCCAATACATACACTGCTATGCCCAAACACACAACTGCCCCCGGGTGGGCTCAAACCATCTTTCGGTTAACAACCGAACGCGCTAGCCGATTGCGCCACGGAGTCTGGATGTTTGGTTAAACTCGTCTTTATCTCACCCCAATACATACCATCTTATGCCAAATCACTGTCTCCCCCCCCCCCCCCTTCGAGTGAGTGCTTGATTTGGCCAGCCTTTCGGTAAATAATGAGCGCGCAATCTGATGTCGCGACGGAGGCTTACGAGCTACTACCTCTAATTTCTGCCTTTCGGATTTAATACTGTTGGCTTAACAAAAAAAGACACAACACACATTGGTCAGCTCGGACCATCAACCTTTCGCTTAACCGCCAAACGCGCTGATTGCGCCAGGAGGTTTGTCTGGTGAGACAGCCGCTTCACGCACACTTGCACAGGAATGAAAATATGTCTAATCACCCCCGGTGAAGCTCTTCCGGTGTTATCCCCAAATTCACTTTGTAGGACCGACAAGAATTTATAATCTATTTACGTTATTTCTGTATTAATAGATCACAGTCGCTCGGGGTGAATACCAGGCTGCCGCGTAGCGCGCAGATATTT